ATTCGTTGAACACGTAAAACAATAATTGCAATGCACATATTTACAAATGTAGAAAAGAGACAATTATAAAATATAAATGGCTCAAAATAGTCAATAAAATAGAATTAAAAGAGTGAAAATAAAAATCTATCAACTATTAAATAAAACACCATTGAAGGACCAAATTACAGTTTCACAAAAGTAGGATATTATTTACATTAAGAGTGCAAAATATATATATAAAGAATTGATATATCTTATATACACAAGATCAGCGCCACAGTATCACCTCATATGTTTCTAGAAAAACCCCTGGATGACAATTAAGGTGATTTAATGTAATATAAACTAAACCATGATCAAAATCTGCACGTTTATAAATACATTTTTATTTTTGAGTCACCTTTCAATGAATGAGAGAAACAGCTAAACATAAAGACAGACAAATAGGTAATATATTAAAAAGTGTTTGGTGTACAGGAAGTCTGTACATTAAAGATCTCCTATTATACCATTTTTAGGCATATATATTATAGGTCTCGGAAATATAAAAAGACATGTCTATGAATGAAGGGTTTTGCTCAAAAGAGAAAAGAGAAGGTTGTGTTTCCTGACACTTTGAGAGTCTGTGAGATGCGCATGTATAAGACATCACAAAGTGTATTTTGCATGATACAATCTGTCGTACAACGTTTGTTCCTTTAAAGGTCCCATGACATGGCCATTTCTACTGATCATGATTCCATCGTTGAGGTCGACTAGAATAGATTCACATTGTTCAATGTTCCAAACTCACATTGGTTTCTCATCCAGCATCTCTGTATAGTCTGTGTATTCACTCTCTGTCCTACACGGCTTGTTGGAGCTCCTGCCCCCCCCCCCCCCACCCTGTGAGCCCACTGTGCTCCGATTGGTCGGGACGTTGCGAGGCTCGCTGCTGCGAGGAGCGGACAGGTTTCCGGGTCGGCGATACAGCGAGAAACTCATCCTGAGCACACAAACACTCACAGCCGAAGTAAAAACAATAAGTGTGGCTTGATATTGAGTAAGAAAAAGGTTTATGACGCTGTGAGAATGGGTCTGCGGAGAGAATTCCTCTGCGATCCCAACTTGTCTATTACCAGCGTTCAGGGAATCCCTGTTAGTTAGCCAAGGGATCCAGAGGCCTGTACTACGAAGCAGGATTTTCGCTTAGCGGCTAACTTCAGGGAAAACTCGGGGTTTCCGGTCCTACGACGCTGGTTCTCTTTTTAGCGGCTAGATCTCCATGGTAACTGATGCTGAGCGGCTAACCTGCTCAGGACCAGGAAAGGTTGCAGGCTAAGAGCTCAACTCAGTGAAAGCACTGCCTGCTGACCAATCAGAGCTCCGTGTGCGGAGTTTAAAGCGATCAAGTCATATTACAGGAGACAGAGATGGGGACTCGAGTTTGTGACTCGGACTCGAGTCGCACTTAAGTCGCACACACAGAGACTTCAGACTTGACTTGGACTCCTGCTCAAAAGACTTCGGACTCGACTTGGACTCGTGTTTTGGGACTCGTGAACAATCATTGTGTTTTCTATTTTTGGCGTATTAAAGGTGGGGTAGGTAAGTTTGAGAAACCGGCTCGAGATCGCTAGAATTTGAAAATACACAACCGGAGAAAATCTGCCACTTCCTCACAGAGCCCCTCCTCCAACACACACGAACGCGCACATGACCAATGAGGGCACGAGATAAGTTTGTGCCCCGATGGAAGGCTGACAGGCAGGTAGGCCATCCAGTTACTTTAGCCGGGCCGGCTATCGGGATGTTAAGAGCATTCCATGGAATATAACAACAAGTGTATCTCGAGCCGGTTTCTCAAACTTACCTACCCCACCTTTAACATTAACATCATGGTAACACCATGGCGACCGGCGGCACACCTGCAGCTGTACCGCTTGTAATTAGGTTCAACTATAAAAACTTCGAACAAAACGCCGGCGGCACCAACAAAAGGAGCGCACACTGCAAAGTCTGCAATATTAAAATCAAGGATGCTGGTGCAACAACGTCACATTTCATCAGGCACTTGAAAACTCACCCGGAGAGGTCAGTCACATTAACGCATATGGACGGTTAGCAAACATGTTTAGCTCAGCATCAGCTATGTAATGTTAACTTAGCTTGCTACTAGCTTTGTAACTGAATATTTGAAAAGATGAGTGAATGTTTGCTTGTCACACTTGTTTGCGTTGAATGACGTTGACATCCAACTCTTGACATGACATAAAAAAGGTCGGTAACGTTAATCATTACGTTCCGCTGCCACCATCTACTGGCTAACGTTAAACGTAGAAAAATACATAGTTACATACATAAATACATCTGTCGGTTTATAGGCAGGTTACAGGTTTATTGTTGACCACGTAACGTTAATGTTACAGGTTTATCAGGTTACCATTACACTGGGTTTGAGTGAGAGGATAGAGGAATATGTTTATTTATAGTAGACTTAAAAGATGTCATTAGAGACCCAGTGTAATTAAACAATACGGTTGCAGAGGTCAAACTGGCCAAATGGCTAGCCTAGTGAATGTTGAAATGTTACCAGCCACTCAATAGATTGCCATTGTTATGTTTGGCTGGTGCGTGCAACATACAGTACCAGCCACTTGCATGATTTACCAGCATCTGGCTGGTAAATGGTGTTAATGGTAGATATCTCTTTTGGAACAGGTCATGTTTTAATATCACCAGTTCAGTATATTTCAGATAATATTGCAGCAATAGTTTTTTAGTTGCAAATGGCACAGAACAAATGTTTACTTTGAAGTACTTTTAACACAGTTTCCCTGCGGGGGATTAATAAAGTATTTGTGATACTGATTTCTGATTCTGAAGTGTTTTGCTTATAAGTTGTTTGCATTTAGCTAAAGTGTGATGTTTGTCCTCACATTGCAATAGCCTGTTTAAAGTGATCATATAACAAACAACTAATCAGTACTGATACTGTATGCTAATATCTATATAGGAGTGATACTAATACAGTAAATGCTTTGAATGTCTTAGATATAGCTATGCAGTATTCTTAACAGACTGGATAGCAGCAGACAAGTAGAAGGCTTTATACAACCGAAAGAGACTATGAGACTTTGATTTTTTAGAGACTTGAGACTTGACTTGGACTCGTGACCAAAGACTTGAGACTTGATCAAGTCTCACCCCACAAAGACTTGAGACTTGACTTGGACTTGTGACCAAAGACTTGAGACTTGGACTCGTGACCAAAGACTTGAGACTTGATCATTGACCATTGACCATTATCATTCATATCACATCATAATGTATCAGATATTTCCTTATCTGAGTCAGGCTGAGGCCGTATCCTGGCCCGATGCAACACTCACAGTGTCACAGACTGTATGCAGAAGCATTATTTTAAGCAACACATTAAGTTGACGAAACACTTGAGTCAAATGTAATGAAAGTCAGATCGTGTCTTAGACGGGCAGTGATATCATAAAGCTGTTAATGTACGCATTCAAACACTTGTTCTGTTCCCAGCTGTGTTCACCTTGCAGGTGCAGCTCTGTGGCTTTGATCCTGGATCAAGTGTTTAAGTCATGGATGTTTAAAGTTTAACTTCTTCATATGTCTAATATTATAGTTGACTTTTCATTCAGGAAGTATGACGCTGCGCTGTCAGTACGCTTCTCCATGTCTGTGATTGGTCGAAAGCTCCAGATACCACCCCTTTCATGTGAACGTGCACCTAACTAGATAGGACACGGCTGGCTTGAGCGATCCACTTGATAACCAGCGTCGTAGTACAGTTTAGCGAGAGCGCGTATGTTTTGGATATTAGGCCAACCGGCTAACTCAAACATGGTTAGGTTGAACCAGCTTCGTAGTACAGGCCACTGGTGTGTGAGGAGCTCCGCGGTCATTTGTTGTTGATCTGGGCGTTCACACGTCACAGAACCCAGGAAGCAAACAATGGAAAAAGAGAAATGTCCAACGAGGCGTTCTGGGGCAGCACAGACAGGTCTTTCCTGTGTTAGAGCTTTACTCGCTACAGGGTGCACTTTGAGGGTTTGAGACTCTGCAGACCGGTTACATGCAGAAAAACCTTCATAACAACAAGGGGACGGGTGATAACCAGAGAAGCACGACATGGGACCTTTAAAATCTAACAAGTCCCGGCTGTAAAACTTGGGCACTTCATGAACCCTTTAGCCACCAGAGGGGAGATGTCTTGTGATTTAGAGTAAGCAGATGAAGGGGCACAGACCGAGGCTTGTCTGTAACCTGCAGCTAACGAGCATGAGCACACACACACACACACACACACACACACACCATGTATACATCACTTCAGGGGACATTACATTGACTTACATGCATTTCCTGGAGACTTATCCTAACCTTAACCCTAACCAAGTCTTCACCCTAAAATTAATGATCCCCTTATGGGGACCTCCATTTTGTCCCCATAAGGGAGGCGAGTCCCCACACGTGACTGTGTAAACAGATTTAGGTCCCCACAAGTATAGTAATGCTAGGACACCTACACACACACACACACACACACACACACACACACACAAAACTGGCTAAACTACAGACGAGTCCCGGAAAGATTTCTCAGTGTGTAAATATTGAGTCATCCTCCACCTTCCTCAAACAACTACCAGTGGATCTGGAATCTCTGTGAACAGACTCTCTCAGTGTGAACATGTGTGTAAACAAAACTAAAAGTCTCCATTATTCAACTTAAAATGCACTTTGATAAATCGGTAGAAGGGCTGACGAATCCTTAGTCATTTATGGCGAATATTCCCCGTCATGCGTGAGTAAAAAATGCCCCAAACGTTGCGTCTCCGTGCAGCTGCTCTAATGGAGGCCTTT